CACCTTGCCAGGGGCATAGCCTGCAGGCTTTCCCTGTGCTATAAACCAGGCACTGGCTCTGCAGCTGAGCCATCCATATGCTCAGTGGCTCTTGGCAGACATCATTCCAAAGCAACCAGGCTTCATGAGCTCTTTGGCCTGATCATAAGAAATTTGGTAGAATTTGGAATTGTATGTGAGCTTCCCCTTTTCACCGTCCCTTTCACTCTCATAAGGAGGATTCAATTACTGGTATCTTGAAGCTGCACATGGGATATGTGTTGTTAAATCAAGGAAGGGTCTGCACTGCACCTTTAAATACCCACACACCCCCTTTATGTGTGTGCTGCTCTTCCTGTCCCTTGGAGGGTGACCAAAGGGGATAGTCATGGGCCTCCCTCAGAAACCTCTTCTTCCATATGTATACCAACCTCCACTCTTTTAGTTTCCCATCCTAGTCCTCTTTCACGCCCAGCTATCTGCTGGTGGAAGGTTCAATTTGTGTTACAAAGGTCCTTCAAGGCCATCCCCAGGCCATCTTTCACAATGTCTCCACGTGGCTTTATCAACCAAAGTGTGAGCTCTTTCTAATTCTAGCTGCACCTTTCTTGCCTGCAGCAAAGCTGTTCCCTCTTCACATCCTCAGTTATCCCACCTTCCTTGCCTGCACATTGTCAGGAACAGTAACTGTCTCTTGCTATAAAGGTAGAAAAAGGTCACCCTTCTTACCAGCTGACAGCGCTTATGGCATTACTTTGGCAAGATTTATTCTTCCCATTGCAAGAATCAAATTCTTTCACCTCTGGTAATTAATTGACAGAATTTGGGGTCTGAAATTGTGAAATATTCTTTAGCTTTCCCAATATGAATCACAAGCTCTGTAGCTGTAGAACCAGCTGGATTCTAAATTTCAAATAATACCCAACCAGTTCAGGAGATTTTGTGGCCATAGAGGACAAGTAAAAATTGATTCTGGTTCCCAGAAATCACCTGTTCTGGCCCTTTCATAGATAATTCTGCATAAACATACTTAACCACAACTTAGAAACTTCGTGTCACAGAGAAGAGGAGTTGCCATACACACTTCATTTCTCAGGGAATTATTGTTACCATCTATGCCAATCCTACTGTGTGTGTGTGTATGTGTTTACTACCCATTTGTAGTTTCTTCATTGCAAGAAGCTCCACAACCTCATAATTTATTCCAGTGCTTTGCTGTCCTGACTTGTTAGACTTTCCTCAGTGTTCAACTGAACTTCTGCATTTAAGCTAACTCTTTGTCCTATCCACATGTTACTACTTTCCTAGATGCTGCACTACACTGTGTTGGAAAGTCATTATAATGTCCTTTCTGCTCTCTTATCTCAAGGTTTAACAACCCAGTTTCAGTCTTTCTTCACAGGCCATGTCTTCTAAGCCTCTGATTTTTTGGAGGCCTTCCACTAAGTCCACAACTTTCTCAAGTGAGATTTTGTAACCCTGTGTCATCCAGAGAGTTTGAATGAAAGAATTAAGAAGTATAGTATTGTGGGGCACACTTCCATTACAACGATAAAATAGAGCATGGCAAATCTATTTCTTATCTTGTGGAAATCACACCTTAGCCTAATCTCCAGTTAAAATATTCATTAATACAGACTGAATAATGAGGACATACAGAACAATTACTCTGAATCCAGCTTTCCTTATACTTAGGAGATACGGGTTTGTGCACATAAGAGGTTCTGACAAGATCAGAATAGCAGTGAATGAAGCTTTTTATACACACCTGTCTAACAGAAAGGGATTATACACAAATGAATCTACAGTTGGTGTTAGCCTACATATCTCACACTGTGCCACAGTGACTGGTCTGGTTTCTGGAAGAGTGAAGATAAGGAATAGGAATACAGGCAGAGACTTGCACTGTATTCTGGTAAAATCTGGATGCTTCCAAAAGGAAACTAGTAAGGGTTTTGCAGGCACAACCTTGTGGAGGTCAAGTCTTGCTGCAGATACATGAAACTCTCTGGGAACATGAATGTCTTGGTAGGTCACTCAAATTGTGCTAATTTGACCCCATGCCATCTAAGGAATCCTTGTACTCTAGATTTGGCTGCTGCTGCTTTTCTGCTGACTGGTTTAGGTCATGCTTATTCCTCCTTCATGCGACCTCCAGAAGGGACATTTCATCAGAAGGTGCAGTTGAGACCAAGCTTCAGCCCCTTGGCCAGGAGCTGCTCATCCCCATAGCAGGAGAGCTGCTCTGGGACAGGAACAGGGTTGCACACAGCAGTGGGGAACTGGCCAAAGAGTGAAAAGAAACAGCAGTGTTTACTGGATGGAAGGGACAGCTTGTGAAATGAAAAAAATATTTTTGTGTTCTCAAAGGACTCCTGTGATCCATGGCTGTTAAACCACAGCAGTGGTTTAACAGGGCTCAAGGCTGCTCCTGAAGTGGGCACACTCCTCTTCCTAAAGGTACTAATATTTGGAGATGAAGAGAAGAGTACAACAATGTTGGTTGTTTTGGTTTTTTTCTTTAAGGCTTTAGAGTGTGGGATTTAAGGATCTCTGTCTGCTTAATTTAAAAATAGTTTGAGTGGACTTGGTAACTGAGCAGGGGAAGCTGAGTGCTTTTCTGAGAAAAGTATGATAGGAACCAGCACCTGCACTCTGAAAGCACAAAGCAAACTGTAAATTAGGCACCCTGTTGAGAAGGATCAGCCACTGGAACGCCTGTCCAAAGGTATGGTACATTCTCCATCCCATGAGACCTCATTCTTTGCAGCTCTCTGAAAGGAGGTGGGAGCCAGCTCGGGGTTGGCCTCTTCTCCCAGATAACCCATGGCAGGATAAGAGGAAATGGCCTCAAGCTGTGCCAGGGGAGGTTGAGGTTGGACGTCAGCAAGAATTTTTTCACAGAAAGGGTTGTCAGGCATTGGAAGGGGCTGCCCAGGGAGGTGGTGGAGTCACCATCCCTGGAGGTGTTCAAGAAACAACTGGACGTGGCACTTGGTGCCATGGTTCAGTTGACGTGGAGGGATTTGTTCAAATGTTGGATTTCATATACCTGGAGGTATTTTCAAATCTTAATGATTCTGTGATTGTCTTCAGGAACACATTTTCTGGACTGATGGTTCTGTCAAGTGAGAGATTTTTGGGCTCAGTCCAAGAACAATGATCAAATGTCAGTCATTTGTATACAGAATGGTCAAATAATTTCTCTTAGCCTTAAATACTTAAGAAATTATGAAGTGCAGATATTAAAGACACTATTCACCAATATGTGCCCAATAAAGATTAAATAGGACTCCATGTTCCAATTTTGTATCTGACATTTCCTAACTGTGAGTTTAATTTCTACAATATTAATAATGTTCTTTAGCACTTAAGGACTGTCAACCATCTCTGGTTTAGTGTTGTAGAATCAAGTTCAATACTGAATTGCCAGGAGGTATTTGTATCAAATGCAGATTTTTTCATTTCGTACGAAGTGTAACAATTCAAGTTCTGACTCAGTCATTATGATTACACTACAGAAGCTTACAGCTTTGTCTCTAGTGATATTTAAAAAAACTTTTTAAAAGTCATTTAAAAATGAAAAATTGTTTGCATATTTTCATATGGAACTGTAGTGCATATGCAGGAGGATATTTGATAAATTATATATATATGCATTTAAATTAAGAGATAATAATTTTCAGGTATTTGATTTCATACACTATTTAATAATTTCTGGATTAGCCATTGTTGCAGGGGAGATCAAAGTGTTCTCTTAGAATTTCATATTGATTTTACTTTATTAGTGATTTGGAGCTCCAAACAAAATCTTGAGCCACTCTACCTAAGACATTAAATTCCATGGTGGGAAATGAATCTCTTCCCCAAAAAAATATTGTCTAAAAAAGCCAGATGTTCTCTGGTTTGTTATCTCCACTTCACATGTGGGAAACAGAGTACAGAAAAAAGGTGCTGTTCCTGAGGTCACATGGAGCCCCAGGGCTGGACGTACTTCCAGAGCTCCTGTGAACAGCTTTAACCAGAAGATCATTCCCTATTTATAAGGTCAAGATCAGTATTTTTCCAGACTGCAGTAAATTATTTAGGAGCTGTATTTAGATTTAGAGAAGTTACTTAGGAGCTCAAGTGATGCAAACCTTTTGTATGGATGACTGAGGAAAAAAAATTGTCTTCAGTTTATTCAGTGGTACTTTCACTGTAAGCAATTTACTACTTGACATAAAGAAAAGCCTCAGATTTTGTCTCTTAAGATGCTGCAGTGGGTTTTGTGCAGGTACAGACTGAGATATTTGAAGTCTATGGTTTTGCTAATGGTGATGTGCCCAAAAAATCCCAATATAGGTGTCTGGAATATGTCAAGGCAGTCATGAAAAGTCTGTGTTTTCCTTTGTAAAATACTTTTGGGGACTTTTGTGAGATCTAATGGTTGTTCACGGAATTAATGCAAAATACCTGACTTAGAGCCATGCAACAACTCCTTTCTAAATATGTTTATGCTCAACTGAGCTCAGCATCCTTTTTTTCATTTGTGGCTTAAAGTAAATGCCCTGAGCACATTTTGCACTCAGATTAATAACCACTTTATCATCACAAGCCTTCCTGGGGCTGCCCATTTAGCGTTTTTGTTTTGGTTTGGTTTTGTTTCTTTCATAAAACAGGGTCAGCATGGTTCTTTCTAGCATTTGTAAAGAGGGAAGTACATGAATGATCTGTCCCCTTTATTCAGATCATTCATTTCACATTTGGAAGCTGGCCTTATTTTCAGTAATCAGGCTGGTACGTAGAAGCTGGCTGGTGTAAGTGGTCTGGTTGGGAATTTTTCTGGTTTTGGTTGTTTTTTTCAGTTTGTGATTCCAAGCGGGTCGAGGGGAGCTGGGGTTTGCTTGCAGTCACTGCTCAGGTCTGCCATCAGAAGGAGATCTCCGGCAGCGCTCGCTCTGTTTCCATATCACAAACTGGGAGCGCAACCCACGGCGCTGGGCTCGGTGTGAGGCTCCTGAGATGAGTGTGCAGAGACCTGGGTTAGCTGCCTCTCACCACTGCAGGGGGCTCCCAGCTGCTGGATAGCCTCTCCTCCTCTCCTGCCTTCACTGCTAACTCTGCTGGGGCCAAGTCAAGCCGCCCAACTTCTCAACGGGTAAATCTTGTTCCTTTCTTACCGTGTCATCTGAAATGCGTATGCAGAGCCCGTCTGCAAGATGCTGGGGTTTATTAAGGTGTGGGGATTGATGAATTGTAGGTTGGTAATTGAGAAAACCTACTTTCAAGCAGTCTGAGGTACAGAACTTGCTACCTCATGTGTCCCTGTGCCAGGTGCCACAGAGCCAGTCCTCGGCAGGAAGTGCAGAGGGCCATTTTCTGGCTTTGCACAAGTGGGCAGTGTTTTGCTGATGTCAGTAGTTGAGCTGTACAAGATATTTTGTAAAGGAAAAAGGCTTGATGCTGTCTCAAGTAACTGTGATTTTTAAATTCTTACTAAACACAGATTTCTGCTTTTTCTGTTATTTTCCTGTAAATACTGTTGGGTTTTTCTCCACTGATTTAACTCTGCAGTGCTTGGAGCGCTTTCTTTTTGATGTGTCTGGACAGAGACTTGAAGGTAAGGAAGAGTCCTTTAGCAAAAGTTTGGGTCTTTGGACAAATTTCCTGAGGGAGGATTCTAGCAGGCTCAAAATGTGTAATGCTAGGGAGTCTACAATCCACACAGGGGTCTCACTGGTCTGGCTTGATAATTTTAGGAGAAGTGCTGGAAATGTCCCGAGTATGAATGAAAGGTGTTTCAAACTCAGGCCTCATCACTTGGGATCCTGGGTCTGGTGCAAGGGTTTCCTTGGATAGAGACAGCTGAGGTGTGTCCCTGCCTGCTGGGGTTTGGGAGAGGCTGGGGAGTGCTGTGAGACTCCAGGGAACCGAGAGGGCACTGTGCCAGGTTCCCAGGGCAGGGAATTCCACCTGCCAGCTTTGGGCCAAACTGGTCCCATGAGCCTTCATCTTCCTGGGGAAAGAGGGTGAGGGTGTGTTCTGCTTCTCAGCAGGATGTGGCTAATCTGAGCTGTATTTCTTCAGTTGCCACCACCTCTCCTTTGTGCTCCCGAACATGACATGGGGGAGGCTGCTGGTGCATTCCTCTAATGATGCCTTGTTCTCTTCTCTGCTGCTGGGGGTTCTTAGTGTCACTCTGCAGAAAGGAATTGCTTAACCCTCAATCCCTCCACCCCAGGTTGAGGGAATTGTTAATACTTCAGTGCTGTTCCATAATCTTAGAGAGAAAATGTGAAGCGTAGAAAGACAACTTGCCAAGTTCAGAGTCGGGAAGAGATTCCAGAACTCTCTTCCTCTCTGATCTCGGTATCCTCACAGTGCTTTTCCATGGCTTCCTGGGAAGGTTACCTGCCTCCTTGGTTTGCCTGCTCTGACCATAAGAAGCCTGGGGCTTTGGTAGGGTTTGGAAGCTGATGATGCTGAGGTAGGACTGAGGTTGAACCTTTCACTGTGGAATTCTGTGGCAGCCTTCAGGGAAAGCCCTGTGCATGTAGATGCGAACAGAACCTCAGCACAGCCAGGACTGCACGTGTGGCTTGACTCATTGCACAGGCAAGTGCAAAGCCTCACTTCCCTGAGCGGGAACTGGGAATACTTTAGGCTAACTACAGCAGAACCATGGTGGTATTTCTATGGCTGGTTGCATGGATTAGGGTGAACAAGGTGCCTCTCAGAGCAATAGCTGCCTTAGGTATCTGGACAGAGAGAAGCTGGCAGGCACTGCATTAAGCAAGGCTCATTCAAGAGAGCTCTTGCAGTGCCTTGATATTGTGCTGATGCTGGGCACTGAGAGGTTGGGAAAGAGGAAATGGAGCCTGTTCCTGTCCACATCATTGCTTGAAACTCAGTAATCATCAGCCCCTTTCCCGTGTAGCTGTGCACGTCTCTAACGTTAAAAAATAAAGCTCCTGGCCCTGTTTCCTGGAAGACAGGTCTTTAGTCCATAAGCTCCTGTCCCAGCCTTGCCTCCTTTGCTGATTGTGTCAGAGCAAGCCAGGCAGGATGGCCTTTGCATGCCTCGCTTAGGCTCTTTGCCCTCAGCCCCATTCCCAGTGTAGCTCAGCAGTCAGGGAGCTACACACCAGTTTGTGGGTGGAGAACTGAGACACATAAGGGCACTTTAATTAGGGTGGCATAGAGGAGTCTATAACCAAGTTGGAAATCTAACTCTGTTGAGCTACAAAAACTCTCATTCAGACCATGAGCAAGTCTCTAGAACTGAAGTGTAGAAGCCTGTATGGTTCCTGTACTTTCTCTCCTCTGTAAACTGAAATAGTTTGTCTTCAGACCTGGGTATTTTATCAGTCAGGATATGCTAGAGGTGGTGGAATAGCTTGCTGGTTGAATCATTTTGGAAGCCAATACTATTAACATTACACAAGAACTGAATTTTCCCCACTGAAGTGTTGCTTAGCCCATGCTTCTCAGATTCAAGCTGTCCTCACTGAAAATAGTTTTGAGAGCAAGAATCTTTATCATACTCCAAGTGTTGAGATCAGATTGGAAAGGGTGTAAATGACAACCAGAATGATCAGGAGATACAATCACATCCAAGAAACAAATGTGCTGGTTTATTCAGCAAGGCAAGATAAGGGAGATGTATAATGTGGTAGAGTTTAAAAATGGAGGAGAGAGAAATGTTGCTGTTGAAGGACTTGGTGATGAAAGAACATGTGACAATAAATTGCTCATTAAAAAAACCCAAAACCTAACAGGCAAGGAACTAGGAGACATTTAAGCATGAGATCAAAGAAGCTTTAGATTTAGTCACTCAAAGGTAGTCAGGGAAATCACATAGAGAGGTTAGTTATGATTTTGAGAAATGATTTATAAGACAGTGGCAGTTAGCTTCTGTTGCCACAAACTTGATTTAGTAGCCTGTAAGTTCCTCTTTTTACAGAAAAGTCTGGCAGAAAAGGCATATTTGCCAGAGTGTTACTGCCACTGTACTTCCCTAAGGGAGCTGTTCCAGTGCTTGGCTATCCTGCTTTTCTGGTAGAACTGTCCGTGGGGAACCACAACGAGCTGTGTTATATCTTGATCTACCGTGAGATCTGAAAAGATGTGAGCATTTGATTTCTCGGAAGGTTGAAAGTAATTTCTCGTAATACGAGTACAGATCGTTATTGCTGCAGTTATTGGAATGAGTTTTCTCCCTGCCTGGCCTTCTTAGTGCTCTTCTTTAGATGTCTTGACTAACAAAGTCTTTTATCCTCCTCTGCTTGATGCAGAGCTTGGGCCAAATTTTTCCCTCCATCTTTTACCAGAGGGAATAGAGAGTGACCACATTGATGCCAGTGAAGCTCTCCTGGGTTTGCTGTCACACATGACAGCAGCACAATGGCGCTGTGCTGCTAAGTGGGAGTTGTGCTTGGGAGATATTTTTTCATGTTATTACAGAGACAGCGATGGAGTTCAGCTATAGTGCAGGGTCTCTTATAATCACACTCCTATTATGCTTTGTAAAAGGCTTTGCAAGCTTTTATTTTGTAAGTGAGCACTGCAGCCAGAGAAGCGTTTCTGGCACTGAATCACACTCATGGTTTGGGGGGTTTAGTGCAATGTCTGAGGTATCCCTGTGTTATACCATGTTTCTCCCAAGGACGTAGCCTAAAATCTAACCTCCCTGAGGAAACAAGCAGGGAGGGGTTCTGCTGTTTAATTTACCCACCCAAGTCAACAGCCTCACCCCCAAGGCTTCCTCTGTAGTCTGTGGAAAGGGAGAAGTCCCTCAAGAACACAGTTCAATACTCTGTGTTAGGCTACAGTTGCATTGCCCCCAGGAGGAACTTTCTTTCCTGAGCATTTGTGACATGAGAAAACTGGCTTTGTACAGCTTAGGACTTAAATCAGGTGTCAAGTACTATGACTGTGAAGATTCCCTGCCCTCTGCCAAGCACCTGGGAATGCATTTGGGAGATGAGGCTTTCTTTTAGGTGATGTCTGTGCAACACAGAGGTCTCCATACTGCCAAAACCATTCACATCCCTGTGCCATTTGCAAAGCTGTGTATATGGCTGACATAAAGGTGATCCTTGTGTGTTTTCCTTTTCACATCAGGCTTTGAGAAGGGTATGCCTTTGGTGGGTGATGGGAAAGTTGGAGATGTACAAAGCAACTGCTATCTCCTGGCAATCTCTGGCATTTTCCTACAGTCCTGCCTGTAGAAAGCTGGCCAGATATGTTAAAGGCATTGTAAGAGTGTATTAGTTTAGCAAAAAAAATCATTGTGCAAAAACTGACCTTTTTTTGCATCTGGGGAAAAATGAATTCTATGCACTGTAGTTGCTCCCACTTGAATAATGACATGCAAAATTTGGATTCCATGCAGGTGTCAGTTACAGTGAACTCTTGAGAGAAGTTGTGTCAGTAAGAGCAGTGGATTCGGTGTCTGTCACACGTGCACACATTGTGTTAGGCTATGGAGGAGAGTTGGAAGTTTCCTTGCTGCATCTGTCTGACTGTCAGATTCTGCATGTCCAACCTGTGGTGACCAAGCAGAGAATGCAAGCTGAGACTGAAAAACAGAAAGAAAATGCTTAACTCCACCTCTTATCAGCAGAGCCTCCCCCAGATAAGCAGCTGTCATCTCTGCTCAGGGGTCTGGCCAGCACTTTCACACTTGTCCGTTCCTATGGCCAGATCTGTTCCCTTTCCACTGGCAGCTGAGGGAAGGCTCCGGCTCTGGAGGTTTCAAGCCACCTTTGCAGCACACTGGGCTGATCCAGGAGCAGATGTGTGTGACATGAGCTAGGCCTGGCTTAGACCTGCCTTTGGGAAGAGGCACTAGGGCTTCTCTCCTCCTAGGGCAGTCCAGAGCCTCAATGACCCGCTCCTGCCACAACCAGCTCCAGATGCTGGCACCAGCCTGTTTGAACCCCAATTCTGAGCAGAAAACACAGGCTCAAGGAACTGTAGCTAGCCAGAGGGCAGAATATTTGTTGTCATTCTCAGTTAAGGTCCTCTCATCTTTAGAACTTGAACTTCTGATCAGACTACAAAACTGTGTCTGTAAAAGCACAGCTCTTCTCTGAAAGAGACTGCAAGTGTTTCTTGCTTGTCTCTCAGGGACTTGGTGGCAACTGTGCGTGATTTGCACATAGAAACTTTTTTTCCCCTAACTGCCTCTCCTCCAGATGCAGCCTGAACTCAGAGACCCAAGCTGTAGTCTTTCCATCACCCTCTGATCAGAAGGTTTGATAGAAAAGCCAAGTGTGCAGCAGCACCTGTGAGCTGGGGCCCAACAGTGTGCACAAAGGGCTATCCAGGGAGTTGTCTTTGTAAGGCTGCTCATGCATGAACTGGAACTGAGGCCAGCTGCTGCCCTCCAGCATTATTTTGAACAAAAAAGTCACTTTCTTCTTTGTGGTGCAGCTTTACCTTTACTTAGTACTGCCTTTATTGTCTCAGGTGGAGGGACCTGGAGATGCAGCAGTGCTTAAGGCCAATGGGGTAAAGAGCTCTTTAAGCTTGCTGTTGTTGTCTTTCAATTAGCAGGTGGAAAAGAAGTAGTAAAACAGGTAAAATTAAGAGTTAAAAAAAAAAACATTCTCAGGTGATGGTTTTGCAGAGAAGGTAGAAATGCATGATTCATCTAGATACTCCTGCTTTCCTGAGCAATAAATGATGCTGCTTTCCTAACTGCTCTATTCTCAGCAGGGTGTTTTCTGATAAGAACTACTAACAAAAGAGGATTCAGCCAGCACTTTTGGCCTCTGTCCAGCCAAGCTCAGCCTCCTTATCTCCTCCCATCTTCTTCAGCCCTCCCTTGTGTCCCTCAAGAAGCCAGAAGGAAAGGAAATCCAGGGTCTGGAGGTGCTCTAAGTGGGCTGAGCTCAGACCCTTGGCTAGGTTTTGACTTGCACGCAAGCAAAACTCCAGTGACCCCCACCTCTCCTGATGTGCCTGGGATTCAGGTTTCTGCTGAGGTTCTGGTCAAGATCTCCCTTCCTCTTCCTGCTTTGGGGTGTGAGGGTATCGAGGCTCGCAGTCAGACCTCCACCTTCTCTGGCAGGCAAGCCAGAGGAGACACCTCAGGCAGAAGCAGGGGAAGTCACTGGTTTCCTATGTACTCTGAGCAGCTCATGATATGGATTATTTCTTAGAGCAAACAATTTGGATCAGGGCTCATTCCAGCCACAGCCAGCACTAAGCAGAGCTTGGGACCAGGGAGGAGGCCAACAAGCCTGCTGATTCACATTTCCAGCAGACAAGCTAGTGCTCAAGATCCAAACAAAATCCAGGTCTAGGGGCTTGTGTTGTCCCGTAGAAAACAGTGAGCCTCATGTAGGACCAGGGGCTGAGTGCACTGAATGGGGTCAGGCCATCTCTCCAGACAGTGCCTGTTCAATCAGTAGCTAAGAGCAAACTCGTGAGGGGTGGCTCCAGAGCCAGACTTCTTAGATTTTGTACCCTGGGACTTGTTCTCTCAGGCGTTCTCATGTAAGGCTCTCTTAGCTGTAGATTTTGGTCTCAGGATTAGCTTTGGTATTTGACAGCATAGGAGCACCAAAGGAGGCTTTACCCTTGACTGGTGCATTTATGACTCACCACCACTATCTCCCACCTCCTTCCTCTTTGGGCAGAGGAAGCCTCCAAAGAGTGAAGTTCAGAGAGCTGCAGACATTGGTTTTTTTGGGTTCAGATTAAACAGGGAAAGGCAAATGCAAGTACCAGCATAGTCCATGCCTGGAGCAATCCACCTCCTTTGGCCAAAAGCCTCAGAAAGCTGAGGAATAGGCCAGGTAAAAGAATGGTTCTAGAATATTTGTAGGGCACAGTTATGCTCTATAGATGTCTGCTGGGTCCTGAACTCTTGCAGCTGATGAAAACCACAGCAAGCTGCCATGCCTGATTCTTTCTCATTGTTTCAGCCTTGCAGGTAGAGGAGAATCCATAACAAGATAAAGCAAAAAAGAGGAGGAAGGTTTTCTTTCCCAGTCCAGAAAAAATAACCTGTTGGATTATAATCTGCAAACAGTGGAGAGTGCCGGCATGAGCAACGAGGGGCCAGAGAATCCCATCGCATCTACACTGACCGAGGGCCTGAAGAGGAAGAGGGGGAGACCAAAGAAGAAGCCACAGGTGAGGGAACATCTCATCCCAAGAGGCTGCCTGAGGATGTCATGGCAGTAGCCTGATGGGATTTGCAGGCAGCCCTGGGAAAGCTGCTTGCTAACAAGGACAAGGGAAGAAGAGGTGTTCTGTGGTAGAAGCCTAGATGGTAGATGTCATCCTGCTACTCAGGACAGCAGCAGGATCTGCAGCCTGGGAAATCTCAGCTCCTGGCCTCAGAGCCACCTCTGATGTGACAGGCAGTGACAGTTCAGCCAGGACACGTGTGAGAGAGGCTGACCAGGTCTCTCTTCTAGCCTGTAGACTTTCACATGTCATCACCCTCTGTGTCTGCACCAGTAATTGGACAGAACAGGCAAGGCCCCTTGGCCAGAGTTCTTGGAACTTACTCATTTCCCCAGCCCAAAAGACAAAGAGGTAGGAGTATTGCTGATCATCTTCTAATGCACTTCACAGCTGGAAAAGCAGAAACAACCAGCTATTTAGGGGTCTGGGTGCTCTTAGTGGGGTGAGACAGTCCAACCAGAATGAGAGAATGTAAATTGCGTCAGGGATCATCCTGCTTAAATGGTTTTCTGTTTTTATCCCAGGAGGATGGTGGAAACACAGCTGTTATCCCACAGGATGGTGTGGAACCACAGCCAGTGAAGAAACCACGAGGAAGGCCAAAAGGAAGCAAGAAACTGACTACTATAACTGGGGGAATGGTGAGAGGAAATGGTTTATACTCATTTACAGGGGAGAGAAGCACTGCTGGAGAGACAAGCAGGGATGTTTCTCTTACTTTAAAGATAATGAAAGTTGACCCTAATTCAGCTCAACTTTAATTGCCTCTGTTGGACAAATCAGTTATTGTGGTTTTAGTCCTTACTCACCTCCCGGCCTTCCTGTGTTGCTACTGCCTGTTCAGCAGTTTCCTTTCAGTGTTTCTTCTCCACCACTGCCAGATAATCACAACCAGTGCAGTCAGGCAGGTGTTTCCTCCTCAACTGTCTTCTATCCCCAGCTTTTGCTTTTTCTGCTACTTGTGAGATGAGACTTTTATACAGACCTTGCCATGTTGAGTGGTTTAGTCACAATGTCCAGCAAATCTGAGAGCTGACAATATTTTTCCGCTTTTGTTCTCAATAAAGGCAGATCCTTCTGCTGGGAAAAGGCCAAGAGGGAGGCCCCGCAAGTGGGTGAGTATGGTGTTCAGTCCTTTCCCTCTTCTCCAGTCACGGATCCTGGGGAACTTTCAGCTGTGTTTGCCCTTCTCAGGCCCTGTGTCTGCCACAATGTTCTTTCAGCCTTGGTAGCCTGGAAATAATTAGGGAAGCACTGAGTACCTTCCTGATGGCCTCCAAAAGAGCCTGGGGGAGATGCTGTACTTCAAGACATACCAGACTTCCACAGTATAGCACTTTCTCGGGCTATATAATGGCTATATATAATGGCAGACCAGAGATCTATCTTTTCTTACAGAGGTTGTCTTCCTAGGAGACTTGAAAGACTGAAGCAATTGCTTAGCATAACAGTTTGTCTCAAAAGAAGAAACTCAAAGTTAAGCTAGAAGACAGATTTTAATGAATGAAGAAAGTTTTGAGTCCTGCCAGCAGGAGACTATTTTATGCAGCAAACAAAGGATTAGTAAGAATTAGTAGCTAAGAATAAAACATTTCAGGTGTAAAAACAAGATAAAAGATTTTAATCAATAAGGATATTCAGTCCTGTAAGCTATTAATGGTATGCTACCTGTCATTAGGAGTGATTAAAAAACCCCACAACAGCCACAGACCATTATTTAGTGTGCATCACAAAAATTGCTAGATCCAAACCCAAGCTGTGCACTTACTGCAGGAATCCATAGGTTTGTTGTACAGCTGTGGTGGCTCAGGAGTGCTCAAGAGGGAAAGGAACACTTCTGGTTCAGCAGAACCAGAGGGACAGAGCAGCCTGTGAGGAAGGACCATGCAGAAGGCTTGGAAGGAAATGTTCACCAGCAAGGAAGTGCCAGGATATGGGAAAAATCAAAAGTATTTTTGAATGTAACCTTGCCATGCAGGTATTTCCTGCATAGTGGGACACTGCAAGCCTTGTGCAGAACATTACAGACAAGGGAGCTGTTCCATGAATCTGTTCCTTCTCTGCAATCCAGGTGAGAAGGTAACAGGCTAGCTCAGCACACTGCTCTTGCTCAAAGGCCATTGCTTTCCCTAAGCCCATTTATATTATGTTATTTGAATACACGGATTAGGGAGGCCTGTGTTACCAGTGCTTAAAGCAACCAGCTGTGCAAACTGGGATCCTCAAGCTCTATGGAAGTCATCAGAGGCAGAAGTGGCCATGTCTTCCAGAGCAAAACTTACCCAGTGAATTCTGCTGGTGTCATTTGTGGACTGACAAATCTCAAAGACAAGAAGGAGGAACTAGAGTTTTTAACATTTCAAAATGTGTAATTTTAACTTTGCTTAGTGAAGTATTCTGATGTTTCAGTTCAGAATTAAACAGATGAAGAATTTTTTGGGGGAAGCAGAAGAAAAAGAACAATCATTTTGTTTTTAACTTTCAATAGACAAAATGTTTAGCTGGTCAAGACAGGGGAATAACCTGAAATATAAAAAATATTTCTGATAATAAAAGAAATCACCACAGCTGCATAATGTGCAGATTTTTTCAAGGCTGGTAATGGGATGGTTTATCTTGGATTCTGACAGCTATTCAGAGTCTGGTGAGTTTGTGTGGACACTGCACACCCTGGTGTGTGTTCTTGCCTATGGTTGGATGTAGGAGTTTGTGGTAAACGGATGTGCTGTCAGGGCTGCACAGTCTTGTTTAAGTAATAATCCAGCTACTTTGCATATATGCAGTTTTGTCTTTCAATACCTAATTTTGCATGGGGGGGACTTGTTTATTTGTGGTGTTTTTCTTTGTAGCCTCAAGCAGTGGTCCAAGAAGGAGAATCTGAGGGTGGAAATCCTCTGGAAAGCAGTGACTTGAATTTGAACTCGGCACCAGCCACACAAGGTTTGAAATTAGATAATCATAATTACACAAGACTAAACAGTGGAGCCAGCGCTCTGGCAAACCATGCACAAGGCTCTAGCACTGGCTGCAATCGTTCTGGTAAATCCTATAAACAGAGGAGCATTTGGAAAGTTTTTCTTCCATCTAATTCAGTTGTGACTGCTTCAGCAGAAGTGGAGGTAGAAAAAAAGAAGAAAATCTCTGTCTGTCTTTCCAAGAAGTCACACATCTGAGGTTCTGGTCACTGGTAGAGGTACAGCTCAGTGAAATTGTCTGGCTGGTTTGTAAAAAGTAAAAATAGTTTATTGTTGGTGTCTTGCCTTGAAGACTTTATGAATAGAAGATCCCTTGGTATTTGGGACATTTTATTACGCTGGAATAACTCCAGAATGCTTCCAGGATGGTCTTCCTGTCTCTTTCCTGGTTTGTAGTCTAAGGCAGAGCTCTCTGACAGTGGCTGGCACTGGCAGAGGTGCCTCAGCAGCACAGTGATGGCACTGGCCTGCTTCTGTAGAGGGCTCCAATTTATCTGAGCTTCTCTGAGATATGAGATGCCAGATAACTGTTATCACTGTTGTAGGAATGTACAGGTGCACCACCCAGAGCCCCAACCTCGCCTGAACCCTGCAAAAATACAAATCTGAGTCTGTATCATTCAGGACTGAGGTGGATTCCAGGAAATCTTGTGTGCATCCATGTCCCACCTTCAGTGGGCTTTGTAGGAAGCTCTTCATGAAATGTTTTCCCTGGAGAGGGAGAAAGGGGCCAGGGGAGGCAGATGTTGCCTGGTTTGCCATGTGGCAGCACAGCTGCTCCCTCCTGCCACTGGTATGCAAAGCAACACTGGGCAGCCCAGCCCAGCCCTGGGTTCTTAGAAAGTCCCTGGAAAAGCCACATGATTAAATGCCAGAGGAATTAACCTCAGTTGCTCAATTCAGTTTCCTCTGGGGCTCCTGCTCCCGTATCGCTTCCTGCCACGGAGTTGTGCGCTGACATCAGCGGAGCCACAGCTCACAGGGGATGAGCTCACCTCCGGCCCGGCTGCCGCCTCTGGTACAGTTAAACATCACCCCAAACCACAGCCAGTGCAGGTACTTTCTTCTTCCTTTCAGTTTGAGTGGGGCCCGGGGCACTGACGGGAGGAATCCGTTTCCCTGCTGTTGCAGTGAGGTAGCAGCAGATGGGACGGGATCAGCGGATGCTGCGGTCGCTGGGAGACGGCCGTGCAGAGCGCGATAGTGAGCCCCAGCCGCAGCGCCTGCCCGACCCCAGCGTGCAGAGCGGACCTCTGCTCTTGGGGAGCATCTGCACTTCTCTGAGAACAAAAAAAGGGCCAGGAAATCACTGGGGATGTGTACAGTATGAAACCAGGCAATCCTCTGGAAAAGTTCTTAAGTTATTTGCTCAGGAGCTTGAGATGGAGTGGTAATCCTGGCTTAAAACTTCTGACTGGAAAGGGAAAGGGGAAGCATGCTGTTCTGACTTAGTGGAAACTGTAGATCCTGGGGCTTGTTTGCAAGCACAGTGCAGCTGTAGCAGCTTGCAGACAGGATTAACCCATTCTATGGCTCTGGGTTTAACTGGGGTATTACATGCCTGCAAGTTTTTGTGCTACTCATGCAGGAGGCTGCTGCTCTGAGACTTGTTAGGAGTATGTGATCTCATAATCATCTTCTGCTATAGACACAGCCAGAGCTTTGGTCATTGAGGGCTTTGGTGATTTGGGTTTCTTCCTTCCAGATGAGGATTTTTGAGGTACTGCACCAGGGAGGGGATGGGATGTCCAACCTGCCCATCCTGCAGGTTCCACACTGCACAGCTCTGAGTGGGAAAGAGATCTGCCCTGGGCTTTGTGTCTGCAGCATTCAGATGAATTACTGATATAAACAATGCCTCTGTCTCTCAGTCTGTTATGGAGAAAATCAAGATATGTGCAGAGCTGAAATAGAAATGTGCAAGATTTGCAAGCCTCCAGTCGGGCAGAGAGCTGCTTTAAAGCCAGCAGGCTTTTTTTCCATGGCCTTAGCCTGGGGATCTAGCTCTGGTTTTCCCAGGGCAACCCCTGGTTATGGGGTACTCCAGGTTATCTAAGAGCAGGCAGGAGTTTTTTAATGGATCAGGCTCTGTTGTGTTGCTACCTGTAGATTCTGCCAATCACAACTCCAGCATTCACATTTCTGTTTTTCTGAGTCAAGTGTTTGGGTTTTTTTCTGTGTGTACTGAAGGATTGATGAATCTCATTTCATAGGCTCCTAAGCCACAGTGGCAGATGTGGTTTGTCTGAATAACTGTTCTTGGCTAATGGACTGTAGGTGTGAGGGGGAAAGAGGCTGCTTTATGGTCAGATTTCCAAGAGCCAGTGCAAAGCCCAGAAGCAGCCTTGGGATCTTGCTCTTTTTTGTCTATCTTGCCATCCCTGAATTCTTTCTCATACAAATCTTGTCTCACTTTGTTTCCTCTGCTGCCTCAATGGTCACCTCAGCTCTCCTGAAAGCCAGGGTGAGGCACAGATCACAGCAAGCTTGTGTAGCCAGAAATGTTCCCCACTCATCCCACTTCCAGACATTCTGTACATCTACTTCCCTGGTGTTTAATATTGGGTAGGGCACTTCAGGTACTTGGTGTCTCATGAGGATTTGAGGAAATACGGAATTGCTGTCAGCAGAGGTGTTTGATGAGTGTTTGCAGAGCAGAAACCAGACAATTTGACAAAGACTGTCACTTCCGGGCCCTCAGTAGCCTCATGCTGAGCCCTGCTGCCAGGGCGGCCATTTGTGTCAGGAGCTCCATTTAGCCTGGAGCTGATACGAGAGCAATGGGAATGTTGTTGGGGAATGGATCCTTGTCACCTCTCAACGTTTTATTGGCTCTGTAAGGAGTACTGGGCAGCAGGGCTCCTGGACCCAAAGCTCTAACCTTCTCTCTCCTGTGATCTTTCCTTTAGGCCTCACTGGTGCCAGGTCTGGCAAAACCACTGGTCTTAGGAGATGTCTGAGCAACATCCCTGCTGCAGCTCAGTAGAGTCCCACCTGCTCATGTCTTGCTGAAGCCAGAGGACTGGAAAGCAAACAGGACTTCGAATGTTGTATTTGAGATTCATTTGTGATAATTTTAGCCAAGTTCTCTCCTGTTGCCTGTGGACTTGCTTACCCCAAACATCCAAACAAGGATTTAGAGGAAGAAATGGCAAATGCCTTGTTGGAGAGTTGCCTTTTACAGTTTGTAGTATATCCTTTGTGATTCTAACAATTTCTCTTTAAAATACTTGTATAACCTGGTGCCTTGCCCTGACACAGAGAGCAGTATTTCAACAGAAGTTGACTCAGCAATTACAGATACAGGAAAGGAAATGTATTTACACATCTATTACACAGCTAATGGCTGTGCTTGTCTGCTGTATCACCTCTGGCAGACTGATGGAGCAGTGCCACCAGTTAAGTTTTGCTGTGTTACCCATAGGGACTGCATCTGAAAGACAGTCTTTGAGTCCTTTATTAACTAGTTTAGAAAGAAAAGCCTTGGTGGCATTTCCAGCTTGCCCCAGTGGCCAGTAACTTGCATGCTTTAGGGGAAAGTTTGCACCCTGATGTCTTAGGGATTGAATCTGAAATGTTTATCTTAAACAAAAATTGTTATGTGATCAGCTCAGGGCCACCTTCTTTATCTTCTGGCCTAGTGGCTTTCCCCCTGAGTTGGATAGCAGCTCTAAGTGCACAGCGCTCACAAGCTTAGTCACAGCCACTGGATTTGATCCCTTCAAAGGAGTGTTTGTAAGGAACCAGTTCTACAAAAGTTGCTTCCTTGCAGAGCCTCGGGATTACATTTAAATTATTCCAATTCAGTCCCTAACATGCGTGTGTGAGGTCCTCTAGTGTCACAACTATGCAAATGAAAGCTGCTGATAGTTTAGTTTTGGGAGACAGCAATAGCCAGTTGGTTTGAGATTGTTGCTGGCTGCTCTCAGTTTCACACTGTTTGCAGGTTTTGTGCTTTTGGTGTCAGAGCTGGACTTGTTAAATTCTGAGGAATTGAGGGTATTTCCAGTATCCAGTTGCAAATAGTGAAATCCCCGTGGTATTTTCCATCTCCTGGATGTTTTGCCTGCCTTTTAAAGGGACAAAGTGGGTATTTCAATTATCTCTGACAGGATGTAAAATTGGCTAGCTTTACAGTGTTAAATATTTAAACAGAACATAATTTGCTTTAAATTTATGGTGGTGCAGAGCAGAAAGCCATGAAATGGATGTATATATTGAACTCATTTATTATCTTTTCATCAGAGTTCTGTTCCCTTGGCAAGTATTTATTTAACACAAGAAAATGTATGCAGAATTAAGAAGGGCTGATTGGAGAGATAATGGGGGAAAAGCGGTTTTTTTTCCTTTTAGGTCATCTTGTTCAGTCCACCCAGTTTAGTACTGATGAGTCCTTATCCCATTAATTCTGCTTAGTAGTGATGAGATTCCCAGTCCTAATTCTGTGTGGTGTCTGATTTGCCCTAAGGGAACTCTCTTGTGTATGGAGCAGAAAACTGCATCACAGCTAATCTTTGTGCCTCCAGTACCAAATAGCAGAGAAATCAAGGACTAAATGGATTAGATCACAGGGACTGACCTAAATCCTGTGCTATGGGATGAGCTGTGCTGCCAGATACGAGGAGGAGTTTGACCCCCAGCTGGTGCTGTGGGGATAATTCTAGGTGGGATGTGATACAAGTGAGTCTGTGCTGCTGATGGTTACATGAGAAGGGGAATTCTGCTGCTCTCCAGTGCACACACAGGTTCAGCTGCAGTTCATGTCTGCATTCAAAGGCCACTCCAGTAGCAGACCAAAATGTTTTACCAACTTCTGTGCCTGATTTCCAGCTGAATTGGCAGGTTCAGTCTCTGTTTGCAAGGCTGTGCTGCCTATTTAATTAACCCCTGCTACCTGAGAGCAATAGCTGTTGTGGTGTGAGACTGGAACTTCAGCTTCTAAATGGATTAGGGATTACATCTGTAAAAGACTCAAGCTTTTCCTGTGACATCAGACAGTCCTTTCTCAGCTGGTGGCATGGAATAGGGGTGCAAACTGCCTTGGCTAGATAGTAAATCCATCTGCTTTAGGTCAGCAGTATTCCTTTGGGAAGTACCTGCAAAGTACTTCTCTTAAAATTAAAAAATCCCCCAAAAATCTAGTCTTTGCTACCTCTTACTACTCTGCTGAAAAACCATGGTAAAAAACTTGTTTCCATGAAAATGCAAGTGCTGCAGGAGAACAAACAGAATTCCACTCTTTTAGGAGCTCTTCCATGTGCCCATAGCTTCAGCTTCCATGTTTACACAGAGAATTAGAATGGAAGTCAATGTCTATGAAAGGTGGGCAGAAGTCCAGACACCTTCAGGGAGCTGGGATCTCTCACTGGATCACTTGTATTGTCTTCTTTGAAATTATAAACATTTTTATTACCTATATAGTTAATTACCTTTTCTGTATAGACAGACCTACCTCGAAGCAAGTACACATCAAGTTTTTTTAAGCTCAGGCAGTTTTGGTCTGACTTGGCCAAAAATAAAAGGTCATTACAGTTGGTTAAATCACAGGAGGTGAGTGAGGTTTGTTGTCTAGCAAAGTTTGGAAGTTCTCCATAAATGGTTTTGGTGAAAGCACAGAGAGTGTTGGCAACTTTCCAATTAACCTTGAAGTTTGTTTTAAATAAAGGTATTCAACAAAAGCCTGCTTTGCCTCTTCCTTGTGCAGCACCCTCAGCACATACACACGTTGCTGGACAAGGTGAGTGTCTCTTGACCTGGTGTTCTGGGGATTTTAAACAAAAATTTGGTCATTCGGGAACAGCCCCAGATTGATACGGAAACAAGAAATAATGAGTATGAGGAATCACAAATGGAGAAAACCAGATAGGCTCCTAAGCCCAAATGTGGGTGCCTAATTCCATCCTTTTGTGTGTCTTGATTGGAACACAAGCCAGTTCTGCTTCACACGTGCACCCAAAAGTCTCCACAGTTGTGTCTTTTCTCCCCCACATTGTTCTGTGGGCTATACAGCTATTTAGCTTTTCAAACAATTAATTCTCTGCCTGAGCATTGCCTCTTCAGCTCCTCTGATAGCTTTCCTAACTGGTCCCAAGATTTGGGGCTGTGGGCCAGATGAGGAAGCAGCAAATCTGAAATATATCGACAATGTCATCATGTTCTGTTCCCCTTGGTGTGGGCAGAGCTGCAGGTGAGCTGCTGAACCCCTGGTCTGTACAGGAATTCAGCCTAAGGATAAATTGGGATTTCTTTTTGTACTCTGGATGCCCAGGACTGGCAGCTGGAAGCTCCTGCCCTCCTGACTTCTCCAGTAAGCCTTTCTGAAGAGATCCGAGTTTCTGTGCTGTAGAATACTAAACTTTGACCCCCACAGAGCTTCCCCTTCTGAATTTTTCACATCTAGTTCAGTTTTTGAAAGAGCAGGAGAATTTACTGCACACAACCAGCAGATTTTCCCAGTGCTGGGAAACACTCCAGCAGTTTCTGTGGGAAAATGCAAGTGACAGGGGAGAAAGACAATCACACTAGACTTTCATGTAAATAGTTTAATTATATTTCAATGCTTTAAAACACAGAAACACTTGAATTAAATTACATCATAATGCTTCTGCTAAATTATACATCCAAGAACTGTGAGAGGAGGTGCTATAGAACTAAAAGAATACTCCAGTATGAGCCCAGCAATTACCCATAATATTCTTTTAGTCTTATTATCTGTACTTCTTTAAGGGCAGTCACCACAGGACAAAGCCTATCATCACAGGGACAATGGTTCAAGAGAATTCCTCTGTAGGTTTGTTTGTTGTGCTGCAGCACAGGGAACAGGAAGAAGGGCACATACTGGGCTGAGGCATTGAGGAAACAGCTCACACTTGCCTTTTGTTGAGTTTAAAACAACCATTAAAATTCCAATGCTGAGAGTTCTGGGGAAAATTCTGCAATTTAAGACAGCTGGACACCCGTTCTGCCATGTGCATCCCTGTGCTGCTGCAGAGCCTGGAGAGGGGACAGGCAGTGAAGGGAGAAATCAGATGTGTGGCTGCTCTCAGTGAGCACCTGCAGGAGCTGGGAAGTGTGTGTGTGTTGGGAGGTGTTTGTCTCTCAGCTGATCGCTGGGAATACCCACAGACAGACTCCAGATTCTAAGGACCTAATCTGCATTACACTGAGTATTTGTACCCGTGCACCTTCCTTCCAGCAGCATCCCTGGGGGCAAACAGCAGCAGCCTGGGAGTGCCTCCTGCCAGATCTCCTGGCAGTGAGGACTGGGCTGTTTTCCACACTCCAACCCCTAATCTACTCCCAGAAATCCCTAGTTCCAAAAAGACAGCTGGATACTGAAAAACCAAAGCAATTTCGCCCTGCAAAGCTGCCCTGAGGGAAGCTGTGTCAGTGGAAGAGGGAAGGCTGGTAAGGAGCTGTGCCCTGCAGGGGTCAGGGGCACGGGCCCAGAAAAGAGTCTGCATTTAATGAATATGAGAAAAACAATCACACAGGGGAAGAAAACAAAATATTTGGGAGAACAAAAACAAACCAAACTTGCAACAAAGCACATGATACCTGAATTGCCACTCTCAAACAACTCCTTGCATAAAGCTTTAGGTCTGCATTCAGATTTTGGCTTGCCCTGATTCCCTTTTAACTGGTGCTGTGGATGGAATAAAATCTGATTGACAAATGCCTGTAACCACACAAAGATCAGGAGGTGTGATCAGGGTGTGGCTGGGCACTGATGCTGGTCCCTGGCTGCTGTGCTGGTCTGCAGCACTTGGGGCCAGTGCCAACCAAAAGGCTTGTAGCCAACAGGCCCCCACTCTCTTCTTCCTGCAACCCTGAAGGATGCACAGGCAGAGAGAAGCTTCAGGGCTACAGGGAAACCCCTGGCTTACCTGTCTAGTCCCACCTACCTGTTCCTAGCAGGTAACTTGAGCAGAGGCTAACGCAAAGCTCTGTGTTCCCTTCAGCAGGAGGAAGAGAAGGCTCTGACTGCAGGTCCTGGCAGGTAAGGAAGTACAAACCAGCTGTTAGTCATCTCTGGGGGCAGACACTGGGCTGCTGTTGAGCCAATATATGTTTCTCCTTTTTTTAAAGTACTTCAAAGCTTCATCTTTTTTCCTGCATAACACTCTACACTGTAGAAACTTCCCTGAGCCAAAGCAGGAGGGGATTAAAGGTATTGGAACCCTAGGTCTGCTCAACTCCTCTTTGTGGCCCAAGCACTGTTATTCGTAGCTCAGCAGCAGGGCTCACATAGCCAGGCAGTGACAGTCCCTGCCTCTAGCTGTGTGAAATCCCCTCTGTCTATACAGTATCTCTAATTTGGGATATTCAGCCACTTCCTCAGTTGTTATCAGCCAGATATTCACTGTTTTTAAAGCCAGTGAATTTCCTGTGCTTCACCATCACCCTGGTGCACATTTATCAGCAGCCACAGGCTTGGGAGGGGATAATCCCGTGGCTGTGTCCTCCCTGCTGTGCCCCAGGCCACCCCTCAGCTGGGACAGGCAGCTCTCCTGGCTCAGAGGATTTGCCACCAGTCCCACCCAGGACTGGCCAGAGCTGTGGTCACTGCACAGAGGCTCATCCATCACTTTCCAGGGGCCTTGGGCACACAAAGCCAACGGAGAAGGTCTCTGAAATGTGCACCTCTCCCCTTCCCTGACCCAGAGAGCACAGCTGTGTGCTCCAGCAGGTTAATCTACACAAAGCAGGCACTGTTCCTAAGCACAAAGCTTGGTAGGTGGTGTCAGGCAGTGCCAGCCCACAGACTGGAGCTCAGGACCTTTCAGTGGCAACACACACACACCAGAAAATCACCACTGCCCTTACAAAGGGTTTGCTTCCCAGAGTGATGGCACTTCCCGTGCCCATTTGTAACACAAACCAACAGGTGACCAGCTGGGCTCAGTGGATCAGCCATGCTTGAGGGAAGTCACTGCTTTGTTTGCTTCATCCTCCTTGTTCTCAGCAGGATCCCGGAGCAGGGCAGGTCCTGGTCATGCATTGATGGCGTTGGCCACATCAGTGAACACGAGCCGGCTGGGTCTCTGCAGGGCTCCCTGACTCGTCAGCAGCACCTGCAGGGGAGCAGGAGAGCTGAGAGCCAGCACTGCTTGGCTCAGGGCTGTGCTTGGGCACAGGCTGCACACTTGGAACTGCCTTCACCCCTTCCAGGGGAGGCTGCCTGGCTAACAAGGCATTAACAAGGCTGTGACAGGAAAATACAACAGGCTGGAGAGTAAGTCAGTACATCCATGCCAGTTTAAAATCCCCACATCATTGGATTACTGAGTCTCACTATTTATATATACAAAGCAGCATGAAAAGGCTTGAGATATCAAGAAGGCCTGGAAATGTGCCATTGCCTGAACTTGAGCTGTTGTTTTAGACTCCCCCTCTCTTTTTACATTGAATCTTTAAACTCCTGCACTTGACGAGCATTTGTGAGAGGGATCTGAGGTATCCTGCTGGCCAGTCCCTGGAGAGGATGATTCTGGTTTTACTGTGCTGAGGTTAACTCTGGCCTTACAATTCCCTCCCTTTACTACCTCCAGGTAAGCCCCCTATGTGGGCTACTAGAAGGACCTGATGTTGTCCTAGGATGTGCTACTCAGAGAACAAGATCCTTTGCTTTTATACACCACATTTCCTGCTTTTCCAAACTAATATATTCCATATGTTGCCTATCTTTCATATTCCAACACCTCTCCTTTGTGCTCTTTAGCAGGTTAAAAATGTCTCAAGGTAAGTATTTTATAATTACAGTTGTATTTATTATTCGTCTTTCCTTTTCTGCCCACACCAAGCTTGCTACAGATTTTCTAAAGGTATAGTGTGTGGAAACTGAGAACTGTTTGGGAGAATTCCTGCTCCTGACCAGGAAAACCAGGAGATGACATAGGCAACACAGAGCAGCTGGAGAGGAATGCATGAGAAGAAATGTATGTCTGCTCCAAGGACAGGCTTTGTCACTGACTAAGAGACACTTGCTCCAACCATCCCTGCTGGCCTTTAAAAGAGGTTTTTTTGTATGGTGGTGGTGGTGACAAAGGTAACAGACAACACTGTGAAGCTGGACCCAAAGAGTGGTGAGAAGCCCTTCTTTCCAATTTCTCCTACCTCTTGTTACTCTGGGCAGGAGAGAGCATCCTGTCAAAGACCTGCCCGACTCCTCAGTTCACCCTAAGCACTCCAAAACTCTCAAGTCCTTATCTGTAGGCCTGGCAGAGATGGGGAAATCCTCCTGAGTTCTTACATAGTTTCCCTACCTGCAGCCCTACAGGATCTCCTTGGCCCTGTAAGAAAGCAGTGCAGGTAGCAGTGGCTGCAGTGACACTCGTGGTGGTTGCTGCCTACCTTGCTCTGTGATGACTGGGAAGATGCTGCATCTCGCCCGTGTTCCAGCAGCTCCTGCTCCAGCTCATCCTGTTCCTCGGTGGGATCAAAGTTGTACATGGGCATGAGCTGGTGCCGTAACTTCTCCAACCTGCCCATGGGAGGGGAGGGAAAGGGTTGGTTGAGAAGGACAGGGCTCAGGCTGCTTCCCCACCCCACTGCTGAGGCTTCCTCAGGCTGCTTCTCCTGCTGCAGAGATTCTGCTCCTGTGGCTCT